CATATAGCAACAGCTATTTTGTGCTTTAGCATTTTATTCTTTTGTGCTTAGAACATTAATTTATCCTTCAACTTATTTTGTACATACATCGTGAGTGCTCTTTGTCCTAACTTAACACCTTCTGTGTGTAATCAAACACCCCATTGACAAGCTTGCACTTTGCACACGGTCCACAGACCAGTAGTGCACAATGTACAGCAAGTTTTTTTTTTAAAGGACAAAGCAGTGCACATGAAGCCTTCCAGAAATATTCCCCTGATTGGTGGAGACTTGCGGGAATTCAATGATAACATGTTCATGTCAAGCTGCGATAAATAATCAAGGTAACAACCATGTAACAATCCAGACATATGTAGCTGGCGTGACTGAGAACAGTGGTGAGACATACATAGCAGGAACGAAAGGCTACACTAAGTTAGTAGTATAGCACGTATAACCTCAACTTCTTCCCAAAGTTTGATGCACACCGTCCGCCCTGCATGCTGAAAACAGGACATCTGCCGAGCATGCTGAAACAGGACTGGTTGTTATCACCAACGAAGCAGGGTACATAACCACTGGCGACGGCTGCCGTAGCTACATGCCTGTATGTACTCCTTTGTGGCCAGCAACCAATGTGATACATGTACAAGCCATGTACTGTGCAGCTGGCTAATGCCAGTAATGGCTAATGGCTAATGCTAGTAATGGCTAATGCCAGTAATGGCTAATGGCTAATGGGCGGCACAACCATGAACCATGAAGTTTGATGAGCGGGTTGGGTCAGGCCAACCAGAGCTGAACGAATGCTGCTGCAGCTGTTGTTGTTGCTGCTGTTGTCAATGTGTGTATTGGAGTCTGAATCTGTGTGCAAACTGTTGCACTTTCTACCTTGGCTAGGTTTTAGTCGACTGATGTATTGCAGCTGTTAGCAGCCTCTCGTGGCGGGACATTTCTTTTCGCAATTGGTAATCCTGCTCGTCCACGGCCGTTCTTGACGGACTTGCCTCGGGGTCCTGTTCCTTGTTTGCCATCAGCATGTCCAAGAGCAGCAGAGACTGGATTGGAGCATAACCAGGGCGCACAAGGAGCACACACCAGCACAATGAATACCCGTCAGCTGTAGCAACAAGTTACTCACATCTACATGTGTACATGTGTACATGTGTACATGTGCCCATTGCAAAGTTTACCATGTGGAAGTACAGTCAGACCTCGCTTAACCGCACACATCCGTTTTCCACAAAAATGTCCGGATAGGCGAGGGAACCGGATAACCGAACACCGGTTATGTACCACGTATGCTGTAGATCTGGAACGAGCTATTTTCTTCCGGATGGCGAGGGATCCGGATAAAAGAGGACCGGATAAGCGAGGTCTGACTGTATCCCCCACCCAGGACAGGACAGGCACACGGAAAATACTAGTGGTCTTGTACATACACGACGCGTGTACTCGGGGATAAACGACTTGACAACTTGAAATGTATGTACTTGTACATACACTGTACATTGCACACACAGAGCAATGAATGACTTTGGTTGTCTCTTACTTTTGGCACGCTTTCCGTCTGGACAGCCGTGGATTTCTTGTTGTCCAGCTTGCTGGTAGCCGCTGCTGCATGTTTCCTGCTCAGCGGTGGTACAGTGGTAGCGCCGGTGCCAGTGCTGGTGCGCTGCATCGTGTGTGACCTGGTCAGAGTGGAGAGATTGACGGGCACGGCGCCGGCGATACCCGGTACGTACGGCATGGGCATAGACCCTGCTGCTGCTGATGGCGGTGACTGCATTGATATAGCAGCAGATGTCACCAGTGAGCCGTCGTGTGGCCGCAGTGGTGGCAGCGTGCTCGGCACCTTGCTTGCTGACAGCAGCGGCGAGGCCTGCCTCGGCTCACTGCAAACAAATGCAAGGAAATACGACGACAGCTCTCGAGTCAATTTAGAACGGCACATGAAACTGTGACACAACGTGCTAATCGCATGCTGATGCATGTGCAAGGACTGGGTCAAGTTCAATACATTTCTTGGATAAGGTGGACTCTGGCTGACGGTGTGCCAAGCTACAAAATCAATATACTCTGTGTAGTGGGACGAATATTATGCTGAACTCACCCCACTAGCTGCCATGCTGGGTCCGCCATTGATGCCTTTGCAGTAGCATGCTGGTGAGAAGCTGAAGCAGAAGTTGCAGCCGCCGGCAATTCCCCGTCCACTAAGCCACTGTCAATTGCCACCTGCAGAAGGTTGAGCATTGTGGCGAGCACATTGCCGCCTTCCTGAGGGTCGGCATCGCGCACCTGTGTGATGCAGGACGAGTATACACACATGCAAGTCATGCACACACCACACACACATGCACACACGTGCACGCGTGCAAGAAAAAATCCACAGCTGCTCAGACAGAAAGCGAGCCAAACGTAAGAGACAACCCAAGTCATGCATTGCTCTGTTGTACAGTGCACACACTCACATGTGCACGCACGTGCGCGCACACATGCATGCACGCGCACACATGCATGCACGTGCACACACACATGCGCGTGTGTGTACACATGCGTGTGTGTGTACACACACGCGCACCAACAGTATCACGATGTGCTATGCGTGCAGTGGTCACTTTACAAGAGTCAACTTAGCATAAAAGTACTCAAAAATATCCTGAACAAAAGACCAGTACCGTAAAGTACCGCCAGAGCGCCCCGTCTCGCGAGAGCGCCCCACCTTGATTTTACAGCCAGAGAAAGGAAAATCGTATGGCAGAGTGCAACGAAGTTTGTACGATGTAAGAATCTTAGTGTACTAAGGTCACACTTGGCAGGTTTTGTGTGGAGCTTGTGTCCGCTCGAAGGTACGGATTGACTGCAAAACGTGCAATATGTGTACAAGGTTCATGTCGTATGACCTACAGACAGCAGACCACCTCCACAAAACGACCACGAAAGGATGAGATGGCGGGGCGCTCTGGCGGTACTTTACAGTATTATTGTTCTGCCATGGGATCACAGTTATTCAGTTATTCTCACCATCCAACCAGGCAAGTACTGTATTGTGCCATTGTCTATACAGGGAGTAGTGATCTAGCGGTATTTCACTACTCCCTGGTATAGACATTCAGTGACCGGGTGATGGCGATAGTAAGTCCAGAACTGCATATACCGTAAAGTACCGTTGATTCGTCCCCTCTCTAATTGCCGCCTCCTGTCGATTTTCTTCCTGTGAAGCGACTTCGGCGTATACAACAAAATACGATGTTGAACCGATGCATACACTGCTGTACACAATACGTGCCAATGCAGGCTGAAAATGTGCAAAATCCAGCACATCGAGTCTGAACTTCCACGTTGCTGTACGCCGTACTGCACTTGACAGCCTTGATCTAATTCCTGCCCCCTGCCGAAAATCCAGCTGGAAAGCGACATGGCGTGGGGGCGGATCAACGGTACTTTACGATACATGTATCCTACCTCAATCTGCGGACAGCATGCTGTTTCGGCATGTTTTGTGACCTCACTGTATTCCTACCTCTGCAGGTCCTTCAATACGCTGCATCAACACCGAGCTCAGGCTCTTCAGCACTTTACTCGACTGGTCTTGTTGTGCTCTCAGCTGTGCGTTGTCTTCCTGCGAGGCTCTGAGAGTTGCCTCCAGGCGCTGGATCTCTGCCGCCGATTTCTGTCAAAGAGGGGGCACAAAAAGACAAACCATGACCGGCATCAAACGCAAAAGTTAGACAATGCCGGGCATAGTCGCACAGCTGACATCACCTCACAATCATATACTGAAGTAAAGGAGCTCAGCATTCTGATTGCTTTCGAGCAAAACATGTACAGTTGCTAGCTGATAAGCCAGGAAAATAACATCACTCTTCTATAATGTAGTCAAAAATGCATACTTGGAATGGATGATGTTCAAGCAACTACCTCTTTATCATACTATCCAACTACAAAGCGCTAGATACGATATGTGAGTTCGGTACAACTCTCAGTGCAAGAGACAGCGGGTCGCGGCTAGTGTTGTAGCATTATGCTGGTGCTACGCTCAGCGAGATTTCAGCAGCAAGAGTGCTGGGGAAAGGAAATCACTCTTTTTTTAAACACTGCCGGCTAACGTGCTAAGGAGTTACCAGGGTTGTCACAGACAGGTGATCAATTCACTTGAATATTTGTGTACATCTAGCACAAAAAGGATTCGCAATGAGACTGAGGGAGGTGTGAATACAACCGTAGCTGACACTGATAGCTGTGTAGTTGAACTAGCAACATCAGGGATACCCTATTTCTGACACTGGTGTCGCACCAAAAAACAAGCCCTGCTCTGTTATAAATTTAATGTTCACTCCCTGCATGAATTCAACTCATTTGGAGCTATGTTGACAGAATCACACCATCATTGGTACTTGTATGATGGTCAGCATGTCAACTGCAATCACCTGCTGTACATACAGTAACACGAAGGTGAAAAACAATTTTGATACCTTCTTTTAATTAATACCAGCCGGCGGCACTATTGTGAAAAGAAAGCGGTCTACCAAACTAACACATTACCCCATCTTCCTACACACATGTATGCACACACGCGGACATGCACACATATGCCCACTATCTCTATTACACAGGAAGACGAAGCGAAGGAAAGCTTGAATCCAACTAGACACGGACAATCTCAGGCCTGAATCCGCAGCAGAGTGACACGTGCTGCAATGTGACATGCTGTAATGTAACGTCATGGATCAGCATGCAGCACACTGCGGCCGGTTGGGGTGCAATCAGCTAGTACAGTGTACATAGAACAGGGGTTGCGTTCAGTGAAATCCAGACTGGCGATTACGCACGGTGCCGGGAGACAGCACGGTCCTAACTTTACCACTATAACAAACACCGGGCTGTGCACATGATGGGGACATTGCATAAGGATGCATACAGCATTCGCTTGATTTCATACTGTGCATCACTAGTCTCACCTGAACAGTTAAAACAGCAGGATTTCTCAGATTCTTTCAAGCAATACATGCATATGTGACGAGAACACGACACTCACCTTGGAGATGTGCTCGTACTTTCTTCGCGCATCTTTGGTTTCGTCCAGCTGGTCATCAAGTTGAGACAGCGCCTCTTTCATGTGCTCCAGCTGTACTACGGCATCCTCTTGCTCTTGCAAGTTCATTAGGAGGACTTTCAAGACCTGAACACAGCGGGACATCAGTACGCCATGCAGGGTGTAAGTAAGTGGGTCAACACCCTTGGCCTACTCTTGCTGGCAGAGTCACCTCACGGCTGCCGCCTCAACGTCAGATCAACTTCAGCATCATCGCCACGGCTCAATACGGCAACATGAGTTAGAGTATCATTACACTAGATTGCTTCTGTGAGCGGTGGGTAAGGCTCTCGGCTCATAGGGCTCAGGATGATGCTTTCACCTCCTTGTCTTCGATCCAAGAGACATTGCAACTGTATGCCCTGCTGATCCATAGAACTGTGTCGAGCTGACAAGCTCATCCCCACCACTCTGCAAACTCTGAACACCGGTTTCATAAATTTGACCAACGTTTTGGCTATTTTTTTATTATTGGCTATTTGGCCATAATCAGACCAACGCCATACTGATACACACTGTATTAGTCAATGCCACATCAATCAATGCCACATCAATCCATGCCACATCAATCCATGCCACATCAATCCATGCCACATCAATCCATGCCACATCAATCCATGCCACATCAATCCATGCCACATCAATCCATGCCACATCAAACACCATGCAGCTGTGTATGTGCTAGCCTACCTTGTATGAACGTCTTGCGGCCTACCTTGTCGTTGCCAGCTTTTTTCTCAAGAACAGAGTGGTGGCTTTGCGTCAGCAGCTCCAGCTCTCTTGACAGCTCTTCACATCTGTCCTCCAGTTTCTTCGATTTCACCATGTACTCGTTAGCACGGCTTGTCATTGATGCTGCAAAGACAACAGTAAGGCATCCATTGGCTTTTTAGCGGCTCCAATCCGCAACATGCCACGAATGAGGCTGCCATGTATGAACCTCTCGCGGCAGAAGCCTCTGTGTGTGTGTGTGTGGGGGGGGGGGGGGGGTACAGGGGAACTTACTGAGGTTCTCGTTCACAATCAAGTTCTCCTGAATGGTTCGGCGCGTAGTTTCCGCCATTTGCTTAGCGGAGACCTTGTGGTATTCCCGGGCTGTTGCCTCGATCTTCTGTACCATCTCTGCCTTGAGCCTGGCAAGCACACGAACATGCATGTGCATGAACGCACACAAAGGTACACTCATCACCAACATGCCAGTGCTTGAGTACCTAATGCCAAAACATCTTCTAGTTTTCTTGAACTCTTTGGGCCATTTACTGACGCCGTGAGTAGGTTGACAGCTAGTATTTAGCAACTAACACAGGCACTAGTGACTACCAGGACTGTATGCAGTGTATCACCAAGAGTTTGTAACTCCAATGTTCAGCTGCGATGGATGGACTACCCACGGTGTAATTATTAATTTTTATTGTGTCAGTTTTTGGCGACATATTGACCAAGTATATATTGACCTTTCCACATGTGCAGCCATATGATACAAGTACGCTAAAACGTCACAATTACAGACACCTCACGCCCGGCAGGACCAGAAAAACGTGTTGTGCAGAGGAAGAAGGTATCCTGATCTTTATACCGAATTCATGACAAAATGATTGAGAACATTTGGGACTGGAGAAATATGGCCTGATTGTAGAGGTCACGATCCTTTGTTGAGAGGTGGGCACTGGTGTAGAAATTAGACATATTGGTTCGCTATGGGAACATCCACTGTCTGTACAGTGCACTTCATTGGGTTCCAGACATCAGGTTCCTGGCACCGGGTTCATGGCTAGGCGTGCAGCTCGTGTGTAGTCAGTGCAGTCCGGGTCACCACACCAGCTAATGGCCGTCAGACGAGTACTATTAGCTACATAGTGAAAATTGGCAAAATGGCGACTATGAGGTTGTCGGCGTCACCACACCACAGCCTGGATGTGCTCTCAGTGGAACATGCTCACCACACCAGAGATGTGGGAGCTAGTGGAACAATACATGCTCACCACACCAGAGATGTGCTCTCAGTGGGACATGCTCCGTGACCACACCAGAGACTAAAAGTGTGTGAGGTAGGCCCCAGAGGGCACTGGGACGCACAGATCTACCATTGATTACCATGGTTGAGGAATACAATCATTGATTACCATGGTTGAGGAATACAATCATGATTGTAAGTAGGGCCTTGCACTTGGGGGGGGGGGGGGGGTCTTTGGCTACGCGCAATGCAATCTAAAGTATTAGTTGGTGAGCCGTGTGGCTGCGAAAACAGACCAATGTGAAATGGTCTGCTACTCATGGGCCACGCTTGCAAGGCATCACCACATTGGTTGCAACTTCTTGTACCGTGCGTTATTAAAAACCAGAGACATTGCAGGATTTGCTGATCCGCCCCAAATCCCCCCTGTACTTTTACATACCGTTCCTGCTTGATGACCATGGATTTTTCAGTGCCTGCTCTGTAGCGCTTGTACTCATCACTGACATCTTGCAAAGCCACCGTGAGGCGGTTAGTTCTTGCTTCGATCTCGTCCTTCATTCGCTTGAAGTCCTCTAGGCTTTTCAGACTGCCCTGAAGGATTTCTATTTCGGCTTTGAACTGGTCTCGCTGCTCCTTGATCTGCGTTTTCAATGAGTTGATTTGCTGCTCGAACGCGTCCTTCTCCTCTGCGTATTTAGCGAACTGCTGGCTAATCTTCTCTTGCAGCTCGGCATTCAAGTCCACCGTTTCGCCCAGCTGTCTCTTGAGCGTGATGGTGATGTCGAACTTATCTCGCTGTTCGGTGTGCAGCCGCTGTTCAAGGTCCTTGTTGCGTACCTCCAGGACGTCATTCTTCTCCTGATAGCGAAGGACTCGTTCGTCCAGCTGCTGCAGCTGATGTAGATAGTACTGACGGGTCTCCTCCGTCACCGGCTTGGACAGGGAGCCGTCTTCGGCTGCGGCCTTCTTCTCCGACTTCTTCTTCTTGGCGGAGCCCTTCTTCTTGCCCTTGCCTTTTCCTTTACCTTTCTTCGGTGGCATGGTGTCCCGTGTGCGGTTGGCGCTACGACTCCCCACAACAGTATAGCGGCGACACGCGGCTCAAGATAGCTGCTTGTCCGAGTGATACCCAGTGACGCCAGTGGCGGCAGAATCGGCAGCCTACAAGAAACACAACAGTGCAGCAATTTCGTAGGCAGCTACAGGTGTATTTACCTCAGCTCAGTGGATGATGACGGTGCCTCTCACACGCCAAGCAGATACAACTAACTGCAGCTACGGAGCCAGTGCAGGACATGCTGTAGCAGATCAGTCAGAAGCTGAGTTTCTACAGCGGGCCAGAAAGACCTCACTGCGCTGTACTGGGTCTCTGAAAATGCTTCCCTCGGTCTGACACGTAAGGACATAGGTAATCTTTTCCAGAGCTTGTATTTTGTACAATCATGTACTTGTACTTGTAGGCTCAGCCGCTGCTCAAATAAACTCCAGAAAACCCATCACAAGCTTCACAGCAGCCCCAAACAAGCAAACTACTAGTACTACTACTAGTAAACCATGGTAAACAACTAGCTGATTGTAGGAACTGATTCGCTTACGCACGGTTTCTGTGAGTGTGAACGTGTCAAGTGAAGCCGGTGAAGACTGAAGCCGTGAACGGTGAAGTGAAGGTTTGTTGACATGAACTCAGCTGATCCGTTGCCATGATCCGTTGCCATGATCCGTTGCATGGCAACCGTGAAATACCTGTACAGTCAGAGACCACGTTTTGAAGGTCCCTTGAGCGGTCGTCTTAGACAGGTTTCACTGTACTCGAATAGACTTATTACTATTACAGTATGTTTACCGCCATATTGCCAGGTGTGTCTTTACCACCATATTATTTTATCAACCACAGTATTAGTAATACTATGAGTTTGTTCAAGCTCACTGAATAGTATGCATAATGGACGTGTATACCACAGTATACACATAGCCAATATTTTTCCGGCCCCCTGCTTTTGGACACTGGCGACATGTCGCCGTCGGTATCCATGGTATCAAGAGCAGGCAAGCAAGAGGAGCGGTATGGACTCTTGCTGGTAGATCTACAAGTAGTATTAGTTGTAAATAAAAAAGGGGCTTTGTCAACTGACAACAGCTCTATTTAGTTGCAATTCACTCTTGGAGCATGCGCTGGATGAAAATTCTTTTATTAGTGATGTCGAAAAAATTATTGACGTTTCGGGCCAGTCACCCATCGTCAGAACCAAAATATAATTATAGTTGTAGATATGGTGTGATTTCCATCATGATTGTACTACGTACATGTACTTTGAAGTAGATGAGTGAACACCAACATCCCAGCTGCTCAGTGCTCACCAGGCAATCTTCTCAGTGTTTGGACATCTTCCCCTGGAGCATCAAATTGGGTATAACGGTTTTAATGCCATGAACGTGGATCGAAGAATCACACGCACTAGGAGTCATAATGTATAATAATTATATGAAATCACACCAGATGTACATGTACAAGTAGGTTCTATCCTAAATGTTATTTGAACATGAACCTAGTAAGTCTGGAAGAGTTCACTATTATGGCCGAAGCTGAACCAAGTATGTGCTGCTGGACCCTGGTTGGGCCGAAAGAAGAGCACTGAAGGAAACGTCTGCTATCATGCTTGTACAGAATCTCTCTCTGTCTGCATCTCTCTCTCCCTCTCTCTCTCTCTCTCCTTCTCTCTCTCTCTCTCTCTCTCTCTCTCTCTCTCTCTCTCTCTCTCTCTCTCTCTCTCTCTCTCTCTCTCTCTCTCTCTCTCTCTCTCTCTCTCTCTCTTTCTCTCTCTCCGCCTCCTTGGCCTTGGTGAAATGCTGAACCTGCAGTCTAAATCACGACCCTTCCAACTGCATTGCAAGCCTTCAAAAAGGAACATGACACTGGGAACACTTGTATGAGCTTCCTGACTTGCAAAATTAAAATGCATACGAAACCGGATTTTCATGGATATAAAATAGTAAATTGAAAATGAAACACAACGAAAAAAGACTTCGAAATTTTCTAGTCAAACCCAGTACTCGTCATTGGTACAGGGCAGGTACCAAGGAAAATATAAGCTGCTTATATAAAACGGGAAGAATTCACATTTCAAAGACTACCATTACATGTATGTCAACAAGAAAACAAGGCTCTCACTTACTGGTGCTTTGAAAATAGCAGATTATCCAACAATCTAAAGGGCAAAATAAAATAATCATAGGGCTACGAAAAGGAAGGTATGAAGCAGCAAGCAAATGCATATTTCTGGCACACGACCAAAGCTAAGAGAGGTTGAGCAGCCAACTCCACGAGGAAACTAACGATATGCTGATGCGCCAAAAGGCCCGAAACCAAATTGAAACATCCATGTTCCATTTTGTTGGAAGTCAATAAGTACACATGGGCAGGCACAAACCACCAGCACAGAGTACCTCGCGACAACGAATCAGCACAGAGTCCCTTGCGACAACGAATCAGCACAGAGTCATTTGCGGGTATCTATTGCTATGACCATCATACATGTAGATGTAGAGGTAGTACTTGCCGGCTTGAATGTTGTCAAAAACCTGCCTGTGACCAGTGCGTTCCAATGTAAATGTCACTGTTGACTCATCACAATTCAACAACACAGTCACAACATCCCCACTTTCCACTGCTGGACTTTTCCCACCACCAAATCCAGCACCTTCACCATTCACTCGCCAGCCATACGCACGGGTGTTATCGCCAACACTTAGACTCGGGGGATCGTTACAGGACACTGCCACGTATGTAGCGGTATAAGCCTCAACAATATACAGTGTATCCAGCCGTACTTTGAAGAATAGCATGCCCTGGGTTGCAGTGTCGGCACTGCATATGCACTGGTGATTAGAATGTTGTGATAACCGAACAGTTCTGTTCTCATTCGACAACTCCATGTAGGGGCCTCGCTGACCGGGGTCGAAAGCAGGGGCACGCTCTGTCACTTCAACTGTCATCGGACTGCCTTGAAGATGCCTGTGGCCCATTGTCACTGAGACATGATACATTCCCGGTGCTGGGCTCTTCAGGCTAGCTTTCAGCTTGCCCGGTGATGCTCCTTGCACGATTTCGCACTTTGCAGCCTCTCCCTCGTCGGCTCTCAACGACACGCAGAGACCTATGTCATTTGCAATGCCAGCAGAAATCGAATCACCGTCCACGGTTGTTGCTGTTATCATCACATCAAGATCTGTCGGCGAATTGATCCTGGGAAGGCAGGACACGGAGCTCTTGCTAACGTCCACAGCTATGTCCTGAATGATGCCAACTTTCGATGCCAGTACTTGCAGCTCTGCGGCATTGCTTTTCTTGAACACAACATGACCACTTACCGCCGGCTCTGAGTTCCGCTCAAGGCATGAAGCAATGTCTTTGTGCCAGTCTTCCATCCATGCGGACATGCGCAGGAAATCCAAGTCACTCACACGGCGCTCAAGCAACATATCCATCTGCTCGCCCAGCTCAAGAGCACGCTCAAGCTGTTGCTGCTGCTCTTCAAGAACTTTCTGCTTCGCCCAGTGATCCTTGTCAAGGTCTTCTAGAAGTGATTGCTGGCGTTTCTTGGCAGCTTCAATGGCTGCATCAAACACCTGGTTCACGTCTTCTGACACCAGCTCCACTCTCCTGTTTAAAGTTTTGATTGAATCTTTCACAGCTGCTAGGCTGGACTGTAATCTAACCCTCTCATCCGGCACACGCTGTTGACTACTAGCTTCCTCGCGGCCACTGTCACTTCTCACGCATGCAAACTGTCGCATTTGCTTCACCTTTTGTCGCAATTTTCCGGCCGCTTCACTGGCCAAAACGACCCTCTCCTTGTGTTCCGAGTGTGCGCATCGCTGCACGCACTTCTTGCAGGAGAGTTCTGCGCATTCCTCGCAGTACATGTCCAGCTGTCGCGAGCCGTGCAACGGACAAGCGGAGCATTGCAGCACTGCACTCCCGGTATCCGCTCTTGCCGCAGGCTGTGCTGCTGACTCGGTGGCGGCGATGGCAAGCTGGTCACCGATGTCTCGCAGCGTGTGGCTGTGTGTGCCCCTGCTCTTCTGATGCGAGTGTGCATGCAGATCACAGTACATAAGGCCACAGTCCACGCACACTTTCTTGGCCTCCTCGGCATCCACACATTCATCACACATTGCAGTCTCAACGCTGGAAGTGCATGTACTGGAATCACGCCCCGCGGGGATGACGTACGCATTAGGCAATGCCAGCAATTGGGAAAATCCGGATTTGGGTGCTTTCGTCAAAGTGCCACAACGTGGGCAAGTGATATGGTTGCTCCCTCCAATCTCCTCACGTACACACGTCAGACAGATATTGTGAAGGCATGACAGCATGCGTCCTCTCACTAGCTTCTTGTTGCAGAAAACACAGAGATCAGTCACTGCAGAGTAGGTTGAGTCCGAGTCAGAGTGCTGTAGTACGGACATGATTCAGATTGTACTGCTACCCCGCGGCCCGCACCGATCACAGTGATGGTCGAGTCTTGCAGCCAGTGCGGATGGTCGGCGACTGCGGTGATGGGATCATTTACCAGAACAACAGGACAATCACAGACTACCCAGCAGCAGCTAGCCACTATTACATTCCACCGTGACCGGAGTCGGAGAGGAGCAAGGACACGATCAGCTGAGTGACCAATTAATTATTTCGACAGAAAACAGGATCGCAACGTTAAAAAAATGATTGATTCACGAAAAACGTTTGGCGAACGTTTGAACTAGCCCGTTGCTATTGGTTACTCTCAGGAGCATAGTGTTTTTGACATGTACGAGGTGATTCGCAATTTTTGGACATGTCGCAATTTTTGGACAAATCAGTTAAATACGGAAGTAGAGTCCTCCTGAGTCGTTGTCCTTTCCTTGGTGGACAAATCTTTGACAAGAGTGTCTTCGTGTGGTCCTCAAGTTTCTTCGTGCCAATTTTTAGCGGTGAAGGCCGTTTCTTTCTGGGCGTTTTCTTCATTATTCTTAGGTAATGTAATGAGTAATTTTGAAAATTTCGATTAAATAATAAATGATTGAGGATTCCGTTGACTCTACGTCGCATAACGGAGAGAGTCGACATGGGGGATGTTGTATCCCTTCCATCAACTCCAGGGACTACGTCTTCCAGCTCGAATCCGCCTGGAAGAGTCTCCTCGCCTTCTCAACCGGTGCGTTTGTGGAGGGGTTCTGGTCAGGAGAAATCTCTTTTAGCAGTGCGAGCGTTCCACTCACCTGGCACCAGTGAACACTTCCTAACCAAGAAGGACGCAGCGGCTAGTTACGGCGCTAGCCCTCCACTCTTTGCGAAATATGAGAAGGAGATGGGCCACACTGGAGTGCTCTCCTCTGGTCTTGAATATGACGTCCATGAAAACCCTTGAGAGACCCTTTAAATTGTGTGTCACATTGAAAAGCCTTGAAAAGCTTGCTATGAACGGCCTGTCATTAGAACTCATATCAGCCGGTCTCATAGCCTAGCCTTACCCCATTTCATGTCCTGTGCAAGTTTTACTTGTTCACACCATTGCAGACTGCTGCTAGATGCTATTTAATTTAGTTGTCCAATAATTGCTCGCATTGAAAAAGCAGTAGAAAAAGACACCTTCGATCAGGTCAAGTTGTGGCCGCATGCTTCACCTCTATGCCTTCAGGTGTGTGTGGTGGTGGTAAAGCATAAGTGTGCCAGTACAAAAGCAAGAAAGAAATTTAATTTATCTTACAAACCAACATAATGGGGTGCTATTTAATTTGAGTGTCCAAAAATAGCAAATGACCTCGTACAGTCTAGTGAGGCGACTGCTCAAGGGACCTTCAAAACGTGGTCTCTGTTACCAGGTGGTCTCCTTATCCAGGATCATTGGAAATAGCATCCCTTGGTCCTGGTTTCAGTGGTCTACATGTATTAGGTCCTTTAGGACAGGTGGTCGCCTTGACAGGTTTTACCAAGAGTACTTTCATGTACTCTTGGTTTTACTGTAGCATGGTACAAGGCATGGCAGAGGACGCACAGCAGTGCTCCTGACCGCTGACTGCAACCATAAACCGGCTGGCAGAGTCCCGGTCTTTCCGGCGACCATCCGGACTATGGGGTCAACCCCGGTTCGGACCGTCTTTGGCTCACGGACGGTCGCAAGACTGGGACTTGTCACAGTCAAAACTATCAAGCAAGCAACACTTCAGTATCTCCCAGTAAACAAAGTCACAGTCACCACTTCCGCTGCATAGCTCGCTGAGCATCCCATTGCTTTTTAAGTTGCTAATCCCTTCCCACTTTGTGTACGTGCTCTTCATTTTCTTTTTTTCTCTTCTTCCGTGGTTGGTCGCACCCTCTCCTCAATTCAATTGGCTGTCTTGACATGCCACGAGGTGCAGAAATAAATAAATAAATAAGGCTCGCATATAATGTACATCAGTGCGGGGTGCAAACGCGTGGCAGGGCACGGAACACGGAGCAGAGTGTGGCATTCAGCTGTTACAATAATTATCATACAGATCTCCAATAGGGGCAATTTGTTGTTCCGCTCCTTTCAAGTCTACATACACGTACATGTACATATGAGTACACAGTAAAACCTGTCAAGGCGACCACCTGTCCTAATACTAATAAACCACTGAAACCAGGACCAAGGGATGCTATTTCCAGTCAAATGACCCTGGATAAGGAGACCACCTGGTAACAGACAGTGGCGGATCCAGGGGGGGTTCCGGGGGTTCCATGGAACCCCCTAAATTTTGCAAAGTGTGCGGCTGAGAATCGAAAAATATCATGTGTGCACAAAAGGACGTCCGTCCGATCACAGTCAGTGCAGTCACTGAGTCAAGGAGCACAGACTGTCAGTCAGTGCACTGCATGCGCGTGCGGTAGATCGATGCTGTACGGATAGTAGTCTGTACTGGTGTTCACGTCCGTGATTTACAAACGGACACTGTCTGTAGACAACATTGGGTGGTTGTTTCCTTTTTGATCTTTCGAAACGATCCAAACTTACCTCCATTGGCGCTGTCATTCACTGCTCCTCAGGACGGGTGTGGTGTGGTCAGTATTCCTTGGACAAGTTTTTTGCAGAAGAGAAAGGATGTTTCGAGTACTGACACTCTTCAACGAACTTCGAACCGTACACGTAGAGTTCAAGCTCCTCAGAAGATGAGGGCTCCGACATCCAAGCAAAGTCAGTAATCTCTACCTGCTGCAGCATGCAGTAGTGACTAGTTGTTCCTCCGCAGGAACGGAGTGCTGCGCCAGCGATGTGTTTTAGATGACATTGGCAGGATTATACCCCGTCGATACTGTTTCGCTGTTGTTGTTTCTGTCACTGAAGTGAAGACGATGCTCTTGTCCTGTGACTATAGAGCATTTCGCATCGTAAAAATGCCAAAAATTTCCGAAAGTACAAATGGACAAGGAAAGTAACTTAGTTGTCATTTCGGCATTCCTGGCTCTCAACGTACCCATGACTTGCATATTCAATCTTTACAAGAAGTTGAAAGGGTCTTCAAGCCCTCACTGAACCTATGTGTCAGTCGATTGCATACATGTATACTATGATTATGTGTCCGTACTAAAAATAATATACAATGTAGGGTAAGCAGCAGCACGTCAGGCGAAATAGCACGTCATAGTACATTCGAGATCAGCGAGAAGAAGATGACGACGTCCACTAATTTAGTATCTGTGCACACGAATCTGCGGTGTCTGTTACTCTGTGTGTCAGCTATGGCATCATCGCCTGTGGTTCCATGCCTAGCATGTACGTCTGAACCATCCTGCAAAGTTTGAATGACGTAGGTTGAGCGATCGCTCCGCGAAACATACTTTTTGAATTTCTCTTCATAGTATATCTTCCACCATTGAAATTTCGAATTTCTTCGGATTTTTTGCTGAGAGGGCACGGCTGTTACGCAGTGGACATCTAACAAGATGGCGGCGAAAAGTTTGAAATCGCTGCGGATTTACTGAAATCCTTTCGACTTAGTACAAAATGTATAGAATTATATAATTTCGCCGGATTTTGTACTTTCTTTCGGTAAAGTCGGTCTAAACCCAAATATTTTTTGAAACGACAAGGAAGTAAGAACAGAAGTCTTGCTGTCGAAAACATCAAGAAGAAGAATTATTATTGGAGGAAGTAGAAGTGAACAGTTAGACCTTACCTCTCTGGCTTTGCGTGTAGTCAGTGTTATGGCGGACTGGCTGGTTGATCTGCCTGCGATGGAGCAGTCCGCTGCCTCGATCGAACTTTGGGCCGTTGATCTGCAACGTCTGGCAGGGTGCATACGAGGTGTTGTTCTGCAACAGCATGCAGGCGCTCAAGCTCGCCGGGAATGGAACCGTATCTCTTCTCGAGCAGGTTGAACTCGGCGTGAATTCCTTCCGCGCCCTGTTCCGACAGTAGACCAAGCCCGACGTGCACTCTCCGCATCAGCGGCACAGTGTGTTCCTCAAGGAGGTGCAGCTTTGGAGTGATGTGACCTAAGCCTCTCTCCACCACCTCGCTCCGACATTTCTGTAAGAACGAGGCAATGGAGAGCTCCAATTGCTGCAGTTCTTCCTCTCCACATTTGTTGCAATGGCTGAAGGAAGATCTGCACGCTGCGTACTGGCTGAACAGGGACTTGTACCGCTCACTGACTACTTGAGCGTCATTCCGCAGAGCTGGGCACCGATCTCCAATGACAATTGCTGGGGCCTCAGTGATAGCTGTGATCACGGCGGGCTTGAGGGCACGGTGGATATGGTTCCCTACGAAAGCACCGCCGTGATAGGCCTGCCGATGGATAATGTTCTTCTGCAGTACTGGCTCTATGGACGCTTCGCACGGGCCGAGAACATCCTTGCTGCGGCGCAACTTGGCCAGTTCGTCTTCAGCAATCTTCAGCTGCGAGCTACACTGCTCTGTGTCGGCCTGTGCTTGCTCAACCTCCCGTTGTAGCACGCCTGCGAGTGCTTCTATCGCCATGCCCTGTTGCTGGCCAAACAAGACGATGAAGTGCAGATGATTCTCCAGAGCGGTGGCTTTCGCTGTTGCTTCCGAGAACGCTGTTTTGCAGCCAGACAACTTGCAATTTGCAGTTGACAAGGCTCTAAACCGTCCACTGTCTTGCTCTTCAGCGTCGCATTGTTCTGCAAGCTGCATGTCCAGAAGACGGACCTCGCGTGTGAATACATCAAAGATCCACGGGAATACACCGAGGTCTAGGTGCAGCACTGGAATAATGGCGCTCGCAACGGGCACTGGCAATAGGACTGGTCGGATGGTGTTGTTATACAGCTTTGCCTTTGACAGCAGAGCACCTGCGCTAGTAAACTGTGCATAGTCCTCCGCCATCTTCTCTAAGGACCGTGCTCCATACTGTACGTCGCGGTTCGCTGGTGGGACCTGCATGTCTTTCTTCGTGCACAAGCAATGGAGGCAAGGCCTTACGCCACTGGAACCCGACAAGCC